GAGAGAGAGAGAGAGAGAGAGAGAGAGAGAGAGAGCGCGAGAGCGCGCGCGCTCAAAGCCTGGGAGGGAGGTCAGACCTTTACACTCTGCCCGTAATAATCTGATGCAGCTAAATGCAGGGGGGAGGCGTGGGCAGAGCATCGCAGGCTCCCGTGAAAGTTGGTAGCTGAGCTGAGTACTGAAAGGTGCTCAGTGATTGGTTAGCGGGGAAGAGGTGTCCAAGAAGAGGAAGCAACCTGTGTGAAAATGCACGGAGAGTCACTGACTCGAGGAACCATGGACAGCAAGCACAGTAGAACACACCAAAGAAAGAGGACATGTGAGAGATGGGGCTCAAAAGACAGGGAGTGGTCAGATCATAAAGGGCTATGGGGACTCTGCCTAGGAACTTGGACCTTGTTTCTAAGGCAGTAAGGAGCCATGGGAATATTTTAAACAAGAAAGTGACATTAACAGGTGTGCTTTTAAGGGAAATAACTCAAACTATAGGAAAAAGGACAACAGGAGACAGAATGATGGTCAGAGGCAAGTCAGAGACAGTGGGAATGCAGTGGAAGGGACAAATCAAACAATTCTGTTGGAGGCAGACTCAGCCTGACAATCGGGGGGGACCTGCTTGGTTTGGAGAGAAATATGGAGACTGTTCGGAACTAAGAGAAGAATAAAGGGAAAAAGTCCAACCTGCTTGTAGTAATCCACATAGGTGATTTCAGTGCCATCCCGCTTCTGGAAGGTGTGCGTGGGCTTCACTGACCAGTCAATGTCATCGATACGATAGGTTTTGTTATTGTATCTGGTGAATGCAAGAAATCTTTCATTTTTTCCCCAAATCATAAAAGGTTAAGTGGCTATTTTACTATTTTGTAATTCAAAGTATTAGACTCCAGAATTTCAGAAATTATGAAAGACAGTAACACAAGGGTAGTCACTTAAAAAAACCGGCTCTTATCTAAACAGAGCATTCTTTAACTCTTCAGTATACTGGAGAACCTCCATACTTAACAAAACCTGTGGGAACATCATTAAGCTACAAGCTATTTTTCTCACTGAAAGACACTAAGTTCAGGCAAATCATCACAAATGGTCAAAGGCTGAGGCACTAATCAGACTTGCCTATCAGCTTCTGGTGTCACTCAGATTTTTTTCAGCTCCCAAATGGTTTTTCTGTTAAAAGTACCCCAAGGAGACAGACAAACCATGTAGTTCTGACATCCTGCTTCATGTCCTGTCTGGGGCTTGTGTTCAGCCAAACTGCAAAGCCAGTCAGCTCAGATCATTCTAAACACTTTCCCCTTGAGCATGGTACCTGCAGCAGCCTCCCCACACCACCTTAGGCTGGGGGCAGAAACCTCCTTGTCAGGTTTCTCCCGGCTCTTGGTACCTTGAAAAGGGACTTGGGAATAGTGTGATAAGCTAATTCTTGAAGATTGAGACAGGATGCTAAGAGAGCAGCCCTCTCCTCCCAGGCACTATGGAATTCAACCAGTCCCACCCCCCTGCTGTATCACCCAGAAAAACAGCTTTAAGTGGAAATTCCAAGCCAGACTAGGAGAACGCTAGTGGGTCCTCCAAGAGAAGTATTTGTGGACTGGCAGCAGTACATGAGCTTTTAGTATTCAGAAAGTCACCTAATGGGCCTGTGTCTAGTTCAATTCAATGTGCATTAAGGGCATATTACATATAGACAAACCTAGAGGCTTGAAGGGTCTCAGCCTTAATGGACTTAATGTTCTGTCCTGCAGTGTAATAAAATGAAATGTAATGGCTATGAAGAGGTGGCTATGAACAACAAGCTACTGGAAGGGCACAGGGAAGAGAGCTGAATAATTCCAGCTGAGTGGACAGGTGGAAGCTTCAGAAAAGCAGTAACACCTGAGCTGGGCTTTGGGGAAGTAGAAATTTAAAAGGCAGAATGAGGGGTGAGGAATCCAGCCAGAGGCACTGAAGCAGCCCCAGACTGTTGGGTGTCTGGAGAGGGAGAGGATCTGGAAGTACCTGAGATAGGTGGGACTGTCTGACTGTGGGCTATCCCAGATGCCACTGGAGAAAGTCTGACCTCGGGGCAATTGAGAACACTGGGTCTAAACAGGTGAGTAAACTGCTCAGATCTGTGCTCAGACCATGCCCTGATGTATTCCTGTTCCCAAATACCATGAATAATACATTCTCTGGAGAAAAGTGTATTTAAATGCAAGCTTTTACCTTGTAAGGACAATGAGCCCAAGCAGCTGTTTCTCACACGTCTCGGTGAAGCAGGACATTCCCGTTCTGTGGCAGAGGCCAGTCATAAATTCCAGAACAGTCTCATTCCGGAGTACTTTATAACTCACATCAGCATTAAATAGAAGCCTGCCTTCAAAATGTGATACAGAAATGGCAAATCCAGGCCAAAGAGACAATCTTAAACAAAACAAATAAGAGTTTTAGAATCAATAAGAATGTTAAAATAAGTACACTGAATGTTATATCTGATAACCAATAAGCATTTTTAAATGGTGACCTTACATTCTAATTTTTTGATTTTAGATCTAAAATTTTGATCTAAAGATTTTATGAACTAATTTTTCTTTGGTTTGACTTCTTGCAGTTGCCGACTAAAATTTTTAGTTGTTTGCAGGTGCAGTGTCTTTAAACATGTATTTAGAATAAAATATTTTCCTGTAGAGCAGGGAATCTCGGCCATTGCACACTACTGACGTTTGGGGCTGAGTAATTCTTTGTTAAGGCTACGCTGTACATTGTCAGATACTCAGCAGTACCCGTGATCTCCACCTACTAGATGCCAGGAGCAGCCCCCAAGATGGAACAACCAAAAATATCTACAGACTTTGCCAGGTGTGTCCTGGAATTGGGGGGCAAAACTGCCCCTGGGTGAGAACCACAGCTGTAGGGTGAATATGTTTATGTCGTGATCTGTCCCAGCATGAAAACAGCGAGGTTCAGAAAAGCACACTAAATGGGGTGATAGACTTCATAATGAGAATAAAAAATAATCTAAGGGGGATCAGGCACAGACATACATGGGAAACCAGTGGAAGCGACAGCTCCTCTCCATACAGACCACTATCATGGACTATAAAGTCTCGAATAAGAAAAAGTCATGGAAATGGCATGAGAAATAGACAGATGAATGGTTTTAAAAACCTCATTTCAGTTTATACTTTCTGGGCTTCATTTACCATGATACAAAGCCAGCTTTCAGCACAACACTGGACCTACAAGAATTTCTCATCCAGGTGAGAGCTAAGTATCAGGGATGAGTAGGATGCTTTCTATGGACCACTCTGACACAGGGAAACCTGCCACAATTTCCACACCTGGCAGAAAGCCAAGCACCCTGTCCCCATCCTGTATGCCCTTTGCCCTTTGTTTATGTATCTGTCTTTGGATTACCAGTTGCGTCTGCCTTTCATGTGACCACATATTCTGGAGAGCTAAGTAAAACTTGTTTAAGACAGAGTTGATCACTTTCCCTGCAACATCTACTTCCCAGTTTAAGGTGAAAATTGTGCAAATGCAGTTGGCTTGGTTGTCTGATCTCTGCTTACCCCCAAATTTTATATCAGCCACCCTGACTTCCTGTCAGAAAAAAAAACAATACCAACCGTGTGGCCGTACATAATATAGCCTATTCTGCTTTCATTATTACTTGTCACACACGAAAACTCAGTTTCTGAATTTCTCCTAGGGTTTATGATAACAAGCTAGCAAACTAATAAAGGAAAACAGGCTACTAACTTCACATCAACATTCACCATTCTATAAAAAACTTGGAAATTAAAAAAAAATCGGTTATTTTTCATGCCACGGAGTCCTCCTAGGAGGCATAATGGTATAATATTGCACTGTAAATTATGTCGCTCACATTATAACAATTTTAGAGTAACAGAAAATATAAATAAACCTACTTGTGCTGGGGAATTTCCAGGGTCTCAGAAGGCTTATAGAAGTTTCGTCCAATTTGGTACATGGACAACTTTTTTAAGATCCTGAAAGAATATATTTTTTTTAATCTTTGGTAAAGATCAGTCAGTAACAGTATAATTGTAAGTTTGTACCCACGCTGAGCATAATGGTAAAAATATGTAGAAAGTACAGAACTCTCCATCTTACAGTGCTGGAAGGTTTAGATACTAAATATACATAAATAAGTATATATAAAAACCATCACTTCTTCATATTGGAAAATATAACTGAAACTATGATCTGTCTGCAATGACAAATATGTGGTCATTTACCAATTAGGACTGTGGTGGTAACATCCTCCTTAGCACAGACCGGGTCAGGCGCACTAAATGTGAAGGCTTTTCTGGCCTCTTCCCTATTTTGACATGAGGAAGCTTTTCTAAGAAGGCTACTCAAACTCCCCAGGTGCTACCACGTAGCACACCTGCCTTTTCAGCAACTAACCTGCTCACCTTTGGAATTTGACACATCATCAACTGAGGCTGCCCAGTGCACAGGATAGAAGTAAGAGTTTCAAGTTAGAAAATAGAGGTCCCAACTGTGTGATTTTGGCTACCAAATGCCACTGAGCCTCTGCACCCTCGTCTGTACAATGGGGACATTAACAGCACCTGCCTCAGGGTGCTCCAGTGAGATCAAAGACAAGTGAGAGAGCTTTGAAACTAAAGAGCACCTTCTAAACGTTAGTGGACCTAAAATGGCCCCCCTCAAAAAGGCACGTGCCAAGCCTGGCTTCTGAAAAGCGTTATACAGCACTGAGCAGCCCCGGGAGAAGCTAAAGATCCTTGGCAAGATGTCAGGCGGGAACAGGAACTCATGTATCTGTGGGGGGGGGAATTCCCTTCTGTGCCCTGCTCAGCAAAACCCCTAATTTCCCTTTCCACATCCTGTCCAGACACCAGTGCTGAGCAAAGGGTTGGCATGTAAGGTTTGTGAACAGATCTCCCTACAGATCTACACCAGTAGCGTGGTAAACAGTGGTTTTCAAGCTTTTGTGTTCCCATGTGCCATCTGGGAAGCTTGCTAAAAATGTGGATTTTCAGGTCCCAGTCATGAAGTTTTGTTTTTAGATCTGGTGAGAGGCTAGAGAATCTTTATTTTGTCAGTTGAACTCTGCCCCCAAGATAACGCTGAAGCATGTGATCCTTGGATCAGTTTGAAGAACACTGAAAAGCTTAGCCACAACCTTCCTTCTGCCTCGGGTACACACAGGGAATGAAAGGGTGCTGAGGGTCGGGTGAGAGCAGAAAGCAGATAGTGACTGATAGCCTTTTACACCTAAAATAAGTCAGCTAGGAGAAAAACAAATCCGTCAGTTTACTCACCCAGCCATACCCAATTTTTAAGTCTGGGGGTGGAGGGCAGGATTGGGTACAGAAAAAGAAGAGAAAGAAAAAGGCACCCTCCCTGCACCCACTGACACATCACCACGCTTGAGTTCTTTGTCTCAACTCATATAATTCTGGATAATAATAATGATGGGTGCTAGAGGACACCATGGGGGTCTGTATGCACATTCTTGCACAAGTACATGAAAGGACATGGAAAATTGCCTTAAAGATGACATCAATGCTGGCACACTGCCTGCAAAATGGTTGATAATTTTAATACCCAGGCTCTAGGCTGAAAGGCATCATTAGCCTAAATTAAATTCACATTTAAGGCACCTTACTTTCTGAAGATGATATTGAAGACCTGGATGCACACAGGGGAACTTGCCGGCAGCTCCCTCATCAGAGTGATAGTCATCTTTACAGTCTCGCCTCTTTGAGTCTCACTCAACAATTCTGTGACCTGGGAAGAAAGGTACTTAATATGCACCCTGCATATTATCCCCAAGGGTGCAGAATGTAGATATGAGAAGGCCAGGACAATTTAATACACATTAAGAAAAACAAACCTGCAGGTGCTAGTAGGTAATAAGCTAATCATCACATGATGTTTTTTCTCTGTATCTTGCTAATCCTTGAAAAGTAACACATTTGTCTATTCTCTAACTTCTTAAAGGAGAATCAAAATCAGACTCAGCGTTCAAAGATTTGATCCAAAGAGAAGTCCAGAGCAGTGGTTCCTGACCCTTTTTTGGTGGTGGGAGTCTGGGGGAGACGGGTCACATATTAATTACTTTAAGAGACTGCTAAAAATCACAGACTTTCTTCCAAGAAAATTTCACATCGTATGTACCACAATGATGCGCCCATCTTCAGGCGGTTTATGGACACCCAGAAGCCCATTAGTGGACTACCTCGCCCACCCTGGGTTCATAGGTTGCATAGGACAGCCTCTCAGAAGTTTATTCATAAGACAGAAGAGCAGAGGAGAGGAAAAAAGAGAAGCAGAGGGGATGGACAAGAGAGGAGAAATCCCTTGAAGTTCAAACAGATAGGGAAGGTGATTTTATTAATTTTTGAAACATCTAGAGAAATCCCTAGGGTTCTTCTAATCTGGAACAATGTTGTAACAATATAACGAATGCATAAATAGGTTTCTGTATCAGCTGCCCAAGTAAATTTAAAGCTGCTGAGACCACACAGGACTTGGTACCAGTTTTTGGAATGAAAGAACAAATAAAATCAATAAATAAAAATCAATGATCAAGATTTTCTAGAAGGGCAAGGAATTAGAAGAGGTCAGTTCATTAGCAAGCATTTATATATTTTACCCTTACTTTCTATAGTTAAAGTGTAGTTTTAACCGCTTTTAGGTTGAGCCAAGAACGCAGGGCAGGAATGATTCACTGCATAGAAACCAAGAGAGATTGGTCCTTTCACAGGGAATGGAGTGTTTCACTGAGATGATTTCTTGCTTCAGACAAAGCTGTACAGAAATCAGGGGTAGACGGCTGCAGCAAGAGTTCCCCAACATCCAGGAGAAGTCCAGTAAGCAGGAGAGGTAAGACCAGTTTGCTGCAATCGTCAAACTGCTGCAAGGGTTTCAGGATGAAAGCTTAAACAGCAAAGGACACTGGGGTGAGTGGCTGGGGCAGAGGATGGTATGGCAGCAAATGGTCCCCGCTCTGACGTCCATCCAGGAACGGCATTCCTAACAGCCATCTAAGATCAAAGTCCTCAGCATCCCTCACCTCCCCAACCAAATGCCAACTCCTTTTTGCTTCCTGTATCTGTTATTGTGACCCTGCCCTCCAATCCTTGGTGGTTGCCTCAGAGTGAACTTTCACTTCTCCTCCTCAATCCACTATCTAATCGGCTGATAAATCTCAGCACTTCTACAGTCATAATGTCTCTAAGAGCACATGATTTGGAAGTGGACAGATCCCCGTCCTCTGCCTCTTGCAGCCTGTGTAATATGGAGCATGATACTTCAATTCTTGAAGATCTTTCTCCACCTCTTAAGTGGAGGATGTCCAATGTAAGTCACAGAGGTGTGATCTTAGCCTTTCCCATGGCAGGGGCACTCAGGAAGTACCTTTGTTCAAGCACTTTGACATCCTGCCCACATTATTCCAATGGTTTGTCATTAATTGTCCAACTGTCTCCTGTCACCCATTCACTGGAATGCCATCAGGGTACCTGTAATGTAATACAGCTCCCAGGGAATTGCCCTCTCAAAGACTTCAGTTGTCCATGGAGGACAGTCCTTGTTCCTCAGCAGGATGTTTAAGGTTCTCCCTACCTTTGGAGATACAATTACCATTCCTTCCTGGCTAAATCAGAAGTTTCTAAAAGACGCCTCTCACTTCCTGTCATTATGCCTTTCTGGTCCTAGGAAACCCCCCCTCCCAGCCCCTTCACTGATCCAAATCCTACCCAAGATACTGTCACTCCTATTTCATCAGGCTCTGTTTGAAGACCTTGGACCAGATACTTAACCTCTCTAAGAGTCCAGGGGTGATGAGAGGATTAAATGAGATCATGCATATAAACAGCCTAGCAGAATCAGTGCTCAGTAAACATAACCTATAGGTGGCCTGTAGCAATGTGGTAAGTGGGACTCAAAGTACAGATCTGCTCATCTCAAGAGAGATGTTCTGAGACTAATCCAGAGAAAACCAGGCACAGCCCCTAACACCTAGTACATGCTCAGTAAATGTTTGCCTAACAAAATTACTAATCATTATCAAGCCACTTCTTTCATTGTACTGCATTTATTTGTAAATAACTTCAGTACTGAAATGAAATTTGTTGGGGGGAACAAGTTTTATTGTTGACAACTTGTTTTGTCCTTATTTTCTCCAAGTAGTAGCACCCTACCAGGTGCACAGTAGGCTCTTTATATAAGCAGAATGAATGCATTAGATGGCAAATAGATGTGACCACTAGTAGCAGCCCGAGTCATGGCCACAGAGGCACAGCTGGGGTCTGGGGGACAGCGGGAAGCCAGGAGGCAGCAGAACAGGACCTCCAGAGCTGCACTGTTTGGAGGTGTAATGAGTGAATCAGCGGAGGGTTCTTTCAACAAAAATGAGCACCCTACAAAGTGTACAGAGGATAGACAGGAGTGCAGCATGAAGCCTAAGCTCATATCAAGACCAGAACAAAGAGGTGAGAATAGCAGTATCTTTGCTGGGAAACTGTTTCTTTGTACTGTTTCTATTTCACTGTCACTGGGTGGCAGGTCTATGCTGACAAGGAATAAACAACACTCTTCTGTCTAAACCTAGCGTCACCTGTGTCTGGAAAATAAAGTCAACAGGCTTGCTTGTCAAGGTTTTTATAGCCTATTCACTCATTTGCCTCCTTATTAGAGTCCATCCCCAAAGATGAGATGGTGCATATTCTAAGCTCATTCTGAATGAGAAATGAGTAATATTAACTTATTCTTAGCAACTGTAGAGTAGAATATCTCCATTTGGTTAGGTACAATTGAAGTAAGCTGGACCATTCTAGGAGGTGTATAATAATATTAACATACCTAAATTCACAAACTGTTACTACACATGTATCGATGAGAATGAGATGATCTTTAATGACAGCAATACTCCTGGGACATACCACTTGAGCATGAGGGGCCATGCTATGAATATTTGGTCATAGGACAAAATATTGAGGGATTAGTAAGGACTTACAATGAATAAAACTGTCTCTATATTTACAGATGCAGTTTTTCCAAGCCCTTAAATGTAAGCCTATAGTATAATTTTATATTTACACATTGATGAAGTAATCATCCAAGTAGCTTCTGTAATTCTCAGGGTCTCATAAAAGTATAAAGGCCCCAAGGATGCTCAGAAGTGCATTTTTTGACGAAATTCAAAGAGATTTACATAGAGCCTACAAATTAAAGTTTATACCTTTGGTGCCAACATGTTTGAAATGATGTATTAAAGGGTTAAGCTTTCCAAGGGACAGAAGCATAACGTTTTAATCCAGAGCTCTGTTTTAATCTTTCATAAAGAAACTGGCTCTCTTTTCCTTGTAGTAATTTTAATACTGCTTTAGAACAAAGCATATGATAAAAACATCAATACCAGTATCTTTATTTTGGGACTTGAAAATGTTGAAAGTATAAACAAAATAGACAAAGGAATATTTGCCATATCCAATATCGCACCATTAGAAAAAATCCTTAAGATTGATATTAATATCTCATGTTTCATATAATGAAAGAAATGAGAGTTTTTGAACCAGAGACTGATGTAGAGTTACTCGGACATCCAGGCACAAATGTGCAGGAGCCAAAAATAATAAGAGTAAATTAAGGCTCTGAGGCCACAGGCTACGTGGCCTTTCTTAAAGTCTTGCCTATTTGGGGAAAAGTTTTAAAAGGATGCCTAATTCAAGGATGCTTTGCCTAAAAAAAATAAAAGTAATAAGTCAGTGTTTGTATTATAAAACTCTTATTTTCAAAATGCTGTATCATCAGCTTTTAATTAGAAATCAGTTACTGCTAGGGCCTTAATTAGGAAGTCTGTTGGTGCTCAGGCACGAAAACAGGAAAGAAGAAGGCAGTGAAACACTCCTGACTGTCACTGACAATCAGCCAACCTTTTATATAGAATGAATAAGATACATTCACGTGTGTGTGTGCACAAAGGGGTACATAAAAACTAACCATACCATACCTTTTCTTCCAGCTTTTGTGAGAGAAAAAGGATGACACCATCGAAGGCTTTTGCTCTATTGGAAAGTTTCCGATGATTATAAAGCAACGCAGTTCTGAGCCTCCTGGACTCTAAATCTGGAGTGTATGTCACATGATACTCATATAGATGCCAGTCCTGGGGCAAATCCAGACTAAAGAGATTTGTCACCAGTTTCACAGGTATCCCACTGGAACCTGAGGAAGACAAATAAAAAAAACAATTTTTTAACAACAACAAAATCACACCACATCATGTTAATATTTATTAATATGCTAAGTATATTTACATATACACAGTTGTCACTGTAAAATAAGGATTCTTGTTCAGTGACACAAGAGGAGCTCTGATCACCCACAGCCTGATAACCTTGTGGGCTCCTATCAGCTCACGTTCAGGTATTAAAAAGAGATGAGTTGTACAGCAGGCCTCATAAGGACCTGGGAACAGACACTGACATTCTTGTTCCCAGGAGAGAAGCAGCATCTCAATTCAACTGCCCTTAGGCTCCTTCCATAGCATCTCTTCCAGCTCCGATTCCATGCAATTCAAAGAAGCCTGAGTAGTATTTTCAGATACTGCTCTGAAATTAAGCTGCTCTCAGATTATAAAGAAACTGTCCCATTCTTACTATGGACACAACCCCCAACCTCTTGGAAATCCAGATAATCAAAAGTGAACCACCATCGTGGAAACTGTGAAACACTTCCCTCAGTGGTTAGACTGCTCTGCAAGTCCCAGAGATTGAGGGCAGGACTGAAGAGAGAGGAGGAATTACACATCTTTGCCATGTGAAAGCAGACAGGGACTCTGGCTTCTAACTTCTGCAGGCACGAGGAGGCCATGGTGCTTCCAGGAATTCCACCCCCTACAGAATTTTGTATTCACCTCTTCTAAGTCTAAGGACAAATTTAGGAACAGTCGTGACAAAGCTGTTGTGTGTTCAAGACGGTGTAAGCTCCCTCCAGGTCAGAATCTTGCAGGGAATCATCCAGTGTTTGTCTTATGGAAACGAATTATACCAAATAGCATTGTTTTGCTTTTCTCATGGGGGAAGTAGAAACATGAGCCTCTGAAGCGGCAAGAAAGAGAGACTATCGCATGTACCTAGCATTTCTTCAGCTTCCCCCTGACGTATATATCTGTTAGGAGCAAGAAATTATTAAAATATTCCTATTTTAATTAAAGGAAAGCTTCTTTTGTTCTCCCAGATTCTGAGAAAATGGAGACATAGTGTAGCTGCACATAAGAGCAGGAAAGAAAAGTGGCCCTAGTATGTCAGAGCCGGTAAGACTCTTGAAGATCATCTACACTAGTATTTGCAAGCCATAATCATGAGCCAGTAGTGCCGCAGTACGTAAGGTCAACAATTATGTTTCATGAAGAGACTAGAATACAACAGAATGGACTGGAAGGCCCTACACATAGTAAGGCAAACACCGTTTTGAGAAACATTGTTTCAACTGTGTGTGTGTAGTGTGCACATAGATAACAATACAGCTATTTCTTATTTTGCTGCATGGTTTAAAAAGTTTTAATGAGACTGAATTGCATTAATCTTACTATACTGATGGGCAGTGACTGCAATGGGGTTTGGGGAGGGACTTGATAATATGAGTGAATGTAGTAACCACAATGTTTTTCATGTGAAACCTTCATAAGAGTATTTATCAATGATACCTTAAAAAAAAGATTGATCTGCATTAGAGTCTTAATTTTTGGTGGGTAGTTGCAGAGCCTTTTGAGAATCCAATGAAAACAACAGACCCTCTTCCCTGCAAATGCATGTGTCCATAATTCTGGGTACAATTTCAGGAATCTAGGTGAGCCTGGAATCTAGGTTCATAATTCCAGAAATAGGCCACATTGTTCTTTTTACAGCTCTAGTCCAGAGGAAAAGGGTGGGGAAGGAGGCAAGGCATCTTTTCTAACCCCTACCCCAGGTGTAAGGAGAAAATCTCTTCAACAAGTGAAACATAATTTGGGGGAAAATGTTATTATTTCTACTAATAAGAGAGAGACTTAATAACTAGTCTTTAGATAATGCTTGAATGTAGCAGATATTCAACAGATATCTCTTAGGTCAATATATGAACTTAGTTTAGATCTAAAAACTAAAATTCCTTATGCAAGATTTGGTACCATTTTAAAAATTAATAATATGAAGACAGGGTACCTGTTTTGCAGTCTCTCACATGGGCCAATTTCTCTCTGGTACAGACACCCAAATCCATTACGTCCTGCCTGATTTTCACAGCTCTTTCCATGGAAGCGTTGCCGGCATCACCAGATATACCACTTGCATCTGAAATATGAAAAGAGCACTGTACTATCTCAAAGTTCATTACAGTGATATTATTTATAATTTCTCTATCAAAAATGCATCTACAACTAAAACTCAGATTTTTGTGGTTTTTTTTAATTAAACACCCAGATTGCTAAAGACAATAATGACTATACAGAAGTCTTCAACCTGAAAACTGAGAATTGGGAAGGAAGCATGGCATATTTTGTTAGAAATAACAGACCCTGAGTTAGTCCTACACCTTATAGTATTTTAGTCTGATTCTCCTCTCGGCTAAGGAGAAAGCTCTATCTCCCTGCATCCTGCTGCACTCACTCGTGGAGGGTAGCTCTCCGTCCTGCACCCAGAAAAGTTACCACTGAGGCTGTCCACACAAATTCCTGCACAGATTGTGACTGACTCGCTCACCTTTCCCAATAACCAGAAGAGCAATGCCCAGAACACTGGCGTCAGTTTCTATGCTAGACCATCCGCTTGAGAATGAAAGCCAGCATTTCCTCTTGGGGTATCACATACTGTTAGGTTCTAGAATACATGACATTAAAATCTGTTTCCAAATGAATACTTTCTGTTTGAATGAGTTCAAAGAGATGTGTTTTGGGTACCCCTTTGGCACTTTAAACATAATGTGAAAATATAAAAATTCAAAATGTTACTACAAAGTTAGTATGACAAATGGTATGATGAATCTCTAGGACTCTAACTTGACCACTGTTCTTCGACATAAGGACGGTAGGCAGCCACCCCAAACGGCACAAACCGGCTGTCCATACCCTTTACAGTGGGGTCTTAGTCTCCCAGGAAAATCACAAAATTTATTTGCTTAAATTTTTTTTTAATTGTCCTATCTATATCATTCACTGCTCTTCATTTCAAAAGACGGTGGATGTTTTTAAAAATTCAATGAATACACAGAATGGTAGTTTGCAGAACCTGAGGGGAGGGAAAGATGGGGAGTGTCTGATGAGTAAAGAGTTATGTATATTTTCTTACACATATTTTACAACATTGTGCGTATTTTGTGTCATGTATATTTTATTTTACCACAATTTTAATAAGTAAATAAATATTCAAGCTACCCTCAAAGGATAAAGGGTTTCCATCACTTGCTGGTCACAAGAATTTGGAATAACATTTGAATAAGGCAGTAATGATAGGCTTGAGGTATTGCCTCTCAGAGCAGGTCTTCTGAGGGGTCACTTTCACTTGCGTGGGTTCAAAACACAGCAAGTACTTGAGTAGGACTAGAAAAACTCTAGCAGAGAACAAGAGAGCTGGGCAGGGGTGGGGAGGGACTAATGACCCTCGGGGTCTGGGAAATCCCATGTGCTTAGAGTTTACGTGGTTATTAGCAATCACTTAACTTCACAGTCAGAACAAGGGAGATGGCCAACAGGTTTCCGCAGTGGTCATGGGCTGAATTGTGTGCTTCCAAATTCATATGTTGATGTCCTAACCCCTAATGTCTCAGAATGTGACTCTATTTGGACACAGAGTACGTAGTGAGGACATTAAGTTAAAATAAGGTCATTAGGATGGGCTGTAACCCAACATGACTGGTGTCCTTATTAGAAGAGAGTAGGCCTGACAAGTACAGAGGGGAGGCCACATGAAGACACAGGGAGAAGACAGACATCTATACACCAAGGAGAGACACCTCACAAGAAATCAACCCTGCAGACACTTTAATCTTGGACTTCCAGCCTTCGGGATTATGAGACAACCCATTTCTAAAATTAAGCCTTCAGCCTGTAGTATTTTGTCATGGCAGCGCTAGGAAACCATTGCATCGGGCATGATAGTCCCACTGTGTGATAGTGATACTTGGAGCAGCATATTGACAAGTCTCCTGAGGCCAAATCTGAACTTGCAGGAAAGAGAGCTACCACCAACTGGTGATGTCTACCATGGTGGGAAAGGAAGAAGACCGCAGCAGGGGTCAGAGGCTTCCACCATCCCTGCAAAGTGATGACACTCACATGTATGTGTCATAAGGAATTTTAAAACACTTTCTTTTCAAGATTATTCAATGAACAGGAAGAATCAGAAAACGGGCTTCCTAATGTCTTTGGATTCCAAACTGCAAAGCACTCAGGAAATTCAGCGGCAGACTATTTAGGAGTCTCAAGGAAACAGGGCAAACAAAGAAAAGGTAAATGGGATGTTCAGGAAGTGACCTTGCTGCTGTAAGGCTCAGTAGAGTCATTCCTGTTCCATTCGGGTGGAACAGAATGAAACGGAACCATCTGGGTTACACTTACATTTCTGTGATGTTGTGCTTGTCCCCATGAGGCCACTGCTAGAGGGTACTTCATTGTCAATAAGACCAACAGAGGTAGGCTAAAATGGGCAAAACAATTATGATCAGATTTAAGATGTTAAGTCATAAACCAAAAAGGTTATCACAAAATGAGAACTCTACAATGTCCTAAGTCATGTGTTTACCATGAGCTAAGGTTAACGGGTAAAATATGATGAGATGATGATGAGAAGAGACTGCCCCTTCTAGAGAAAAGGCTAAGGAGAAGCTATAGTTTTCCCTATTCATCAAACTCTGATTTTTGTACCCACTGAAAGCCAGATACAGCTGTTAGGCCCTGGTGGTGTAGAGAGGCAGAGATGTGATGCTTGCATCCAGGGAACTCATCACAGGTATGGCGGTACAGGTAAGCACAGACCTCAGGCTTCCATGGCCCACACACATGGCACCTCCCACACAAACGTGTCTGTAGCAAGAAAATAAACTGAGCCTGGAGGACCTTGGTCACCAGCTCAGAAGATGACTCTCCTTAAAAAGCTAGTCCAAAATTAGCTCACAAAATGGGTAAAGGAAAGCATTAGTATTCTCTTTTCATAGTAACTACTTCCATTTAATCGAGAGGAAATGTATCTTGGCTTGCTAAAAAAAATGCCTTAGGTCAAGGGAAAACCTCTTCATGAGACTAAATAAAGGCTTAATGAGCACAGACTACTCACTTGAGTATTTTGGTGTAAGAAGTGGCTCCAAGTGGTAGCTCCAAGTGGTAACAGTATGCGATTGTAACATCACGCAAAAGTTGCTGATTTGCCTGTCCATTCAGTGTAGTTGACCAAGTCTAGCAAAGAGTCCTACCCGCCCACAGTGGTCGTTCTAGTGATTGAATCTGAGCCACATATGTGTTTGCGATGACTTACTTTTACATATGAATTAGGAGACAAATTGAATTAGCTTATACATCATATAACCGTACTCCTGAAGGCACAATTTTTACCAGGAGACTTAACACCGCATCAAGTAATTAAAACTCAGAAAGCAGAAACGAACCACGCACGTGCTTCCAATTTTTCCGTCTTCTGCACTGGCCAAAATACCTACATTTAAAAGCTGACTCAAATTAAATTCCCAGAAGGAAAAAAAGGGTGAGAAGCCCTGCAAGACCCAAGTTGAGAGGAGACAACCCATTACTTTTTGGAGGAGAGGAAGAGAAGCATGCAGAGCAGAGCGGCGCCCTAGGAGACGGAGGGAGGAGAAAGCACGAGCAGGTGGGCGAGGCGGGCTACTTACCGTCTGCATGGCCTGCAGGCGCCCCGCTTCCACAGCGCTGGGGCTGCGGGCAAAGCCTCGCGCCCGCACTCTGGCCCGTCCACTCATGTTCCCGAGAAGGCCGGAGTGACTTCAAAGGCAGCAGAGTTTCAATTAGGGCACTCTTGCCTTGGCACCCAGGTGCCAGGCTGTGACCCTGGCGGTGGAGGCGGCGGGTCTCCGGCCGGGTGGGGTGGAATCGCTCCGCGGCCCGGCGTGGGGGTGGGAGGGGGCGGCACCGCCCTCAGGTTCCGGTGGGAGGGGCTTGGCGGGGGCAGCAGGCGCCTCGCTTCCCTTTGCTTTCCATCACTCCCCCCCAACCCCCAATTTGGCATTATCCAACTTTCTGGATTTGCCCATTTTACGTGAAGTTGCATCACAGCTTTTTCAGTTTATACTTTTTGCTCAGCTAACGTGGGTCAGCGCCTCTTTGTATATACAGGCACATGTGATCTTCATGTCTAAGATAGCTGTGAAGTCTGCCGCCTTTACATTTATTGCCGTTTTTAAAGCTGGGTTTCTCGTGTTTTCCTTTCTGAGTTTGGAAGAAATTCTACCTTTTTTTTTTAATATGCAAATATCTACTTGCAACCTTTTACTTGTTCATTTTACTATGAAATCTTTAAAATCCCTAATTGTGATGTAGTCAAATCTACTAATTTTTACTTCTATGATTTGTACTTTAAGGGTCTTTTTGGGAGAAAATTTCCCCTGTCCTAAGTTTACGAGGACATTATATGACATTCTGTTTTATCAACTTTGTATGTTTACTGTTTACATTCAATATCTTGTAGCTCTCTCTACATATGTGTGTGTGTGTGTGTGTGTGTGTACATATACTGCCTTTTAGAATTCAGAATGCTTTTTTTTTTCATCTTCTCAGACAGGAAGGGATAGTTATAAACCCTGCTAACTATCAACACATGGAGGGGGCCACTGGTAAGAGCAGGGAGATGACTAAGCCATTCAAATCAAATTAGAACCTTCACAGGTAAGAGAAATGGTAGGGAATCTACTTCCCAAGCCCCTATAGAATGGGACTCTTTAAACCCTGTGGTGGTCTTTTTAATGTATCTATGAATTCTTTGATTCTCTTGCCTTCAAAAGACATAGCCTAATTCCCTCCCTTTAAGTGGGCTGCTCTTAGTGACTCACTGTTGACAAACAGAATGTGGCAAAAGTGATAGTGTGTGACTTCTGTGACTATGTCCTCAAAAACACTGTAGCTTCCCCCTTGGTCTCTCTAAGTGCTTGTTCAGAGGCATGTCAACAGCCATATCATGAGGACTCTCAAGCAACCTTAAATGAGATTTAGGTAGACAGAAATTAAGTCCTCCTGTCAGCAACCAGCACAACTTGCCAGAGAAAATAAGAGTTTCATCAGACTTCTCACTGAAATCATGCAAGCTAGAAAACAAAGGAGTCACATTTCTAAAGGGCCCAAAGAAAACGTGTCATCCCAGAATTGTAAGGCCAGCAAATACATCTTCAAATTTAAAGTGAAAGAAAGGCTTTCTCAAAGAAACAAAAACAGCCTACTTTAAGAAATACGAAAGGAAATTCTATAAGCAGAAGAAATATGACAGTACAGAAACTTGGGTCTACATAAATAAATGAACAACAATCAATAAATGTAAAGTAAAATGCATTTTTTTGCATTTTTACTTTATCTTTCTCTAAAAAATAACACTCCATAGCAAAAGTGGTAGCAATGTATTGTTACATACAAGTATTGTTACATATAGCATATGTAAAAATTAAGTGTATGCCCACATCAGCCAAGAGATGGAAGGAAGGAATTGGGCAGGACTTGGTTCCTCTCCAGATGCTGGATTGAGGGCTCTGATTCCTCACTGGGGGTGTCCAGGAGGGCCCCCCTCAGTTTCTGGCCACAGGGCAGCTCACCATGTCAGGTGTCTTCCTTCCCTCAGTGAGCCAGCTAGAAGGCAAGGAAGGGTCCCCCACGTGGAGGACTCAGCGTTTTAACCTCATTTCAAAAGTTTCAGCCTTTCACTTCCGCCCTATTCTATTCATTAGAACAAGTCACTGAATCCAGACAAAACTCAAAGGGAGATCATTACACAAGGGCTTGGATACCAGGATGCAGAGACCAGTGGAGGTCATCTTAGTTGCTGCCTGCCACAATGCCTTTACTGAAAGGATAAAAATAGGGAAAAACGTGTGTAAAGCACCCTGTATATCCTAGGAGCTTAGTAACAAATGGTAGTGAATTACAACTTCTGATAGAGAATCCTTATTTAAAACCACAAATTTGTACCTCCCAGAGAAGGAGCCTTCATAAATCACTAGGTAAGACTCGTTTTTATAAAGTATTTCTATTTGATCATGAACATGGCTGTGTTTCACTATATTTCAGAATAAGTTTCAGGTGGTGGAACAGAGATTTCTTAAGTGTTTACCTGACATTATGAGAATTAAAAATAATAATAATCATAGGGTAAGGGCAGGTGTTCCTAGTTGCTAGGAGAGCAAAATCCCTATAGAGATTAGTCACTTTGAAGGTGATGCTTAGTGATGACTTTTATTTTTAACTGTAGTATTAGTGAAAATAATCATAGAAAACTGTTGACACCAGAGGTTTTTGCACTTGTGTTTTTTGGAAAAAACATTAAGAAGAGACAGTTTATTACTGACATGTAACCCGCTGACCCCTCTGAGATTTACTGAGGGTTTATCTTCTTCTCTTAAATGCTGTGATTCTACACATGATCTAATACCTCTAATATATCTTCTATGACATTCCTGAATTATGACAACACTTACATGTTAGGATCATTTGCCAGCACTTCTGTCTCCCACTAGAACACACACTTTTTAAGTACAGAATCCTTGCGTTACTTTTATTTACACCCCTAAGCCCTAGCACACTGCCTTCACATAGAAAGCACTCAAGAAAATGGTTGTTAAATGTTGTCAAATAGTCCATTTCTTCCCCATTTAAAAATAATTCAAGTCAACATTCTTAGCGCTCATGGCCTAATAGGGCATTGTTTTTTAGTATATATAGCTAAGTTGCAGTAATTTTTTAAAATATTAATTTGAAGACCTCACAAATCCATTTCTTTACAACTTGTGATAGTTTTGTAAGAGGGTTCCACATGAAACTAATAAGTGTATTAAATGTACTGAGCTCCTTATATTTTCCTCTGACTCTTTGACAAGGAGTCAGTTGGTGATCATGGCTATATAAAACAATAAGTAAAAGTTCCTTAAACATGGATATTGAGTGCAGTTGAAGTAGGCTGAGTGGGAATTGAACAACAAACCAAAAAGGCCTGATACAAATATGAATTTTCCAAGATGAAAAAGAAGCATTCATAAGAGTTCAAGAAACTGTTGTAATGAATCAAGGGACAGTTTTATATTTCTGCTGAAATGCTGTTTTATTCCTTGTTAAGTTCCTGACTTTTGATTCATTCCTCCTTTGCCAACAGGTGCCTCATTTCAAGCTGGAACAAAGGTCTCTTTTCAGCAGAGTGACATTGAATGGAGGATTGTACAGGATTCCCTCACTCTCTGTGCAAATGCTCCTCCTTTATCCCACCCATTTGTTGTCATTCGATCCTTATTTTCCCTCTCCTTTTTCTCTATCTGATCTTCTCAGTTTCTCTTCAAACACTTCTCACCCCAATGTCTTTCCTTTTACCCCTTTTTTCTCTTCCCTCTCTGTCTACATGCACCTCCTGTTCTACTTTCTAATGTACTTTTTTTTAAACTCATTCATCATTGGGTCTGCTTCTCCTGTCACCTCTACTCCTACCCTCTGCAGGCCATCATTTTCCAAATCTGTACTTAAATGAGCATATCCGTGTGTGTATGTTGGAGACAGGAAAGTAGAGAAAATATGCAATGTTTTTTCCAACTTCCTATTTTTCCCTCTCAATAATCTGAACATTAGTCATTAAAGGTTGCCTCTTCCCACTATCACGTCTGTTCCCTTTCTTTATTCCACCTCTTTAAAAACTAGCATTATTTAAGTTAGTGAACAAGAAGTAGACCAAACATAGAGGGTGTCAGAGAACTCAGTAAAATAAATTGGGATGAGATAAAGGAGTGAGTGTAGTGTTGATGCTCTGGTTCATGAGTCACAGGGTTCAAGTGAAGAAGCCGGGCAAGAAAAGCAAGAGGACCTGAACTGGACCTGGCATAACTCAGAGGAGGCAAAGCCATCACATTTCAGTTAACCAACTTAGAACCAAGGAACCTACAGAAACCCCTTGACCAAGAAACATCCCAAGTGCCATGGGTGAATACATTAGTGCCTGGGGAATAGACACTGACAAGGAGTCGTTTTTCATCTTATTACTTTAATCATTTTGTCAAAATAATCTGAACATGTGTACATAAATACCTGATTTGTTGTAAGAATGCGTAGCATAAAAGTCCCTGAGACACATCCAAGAATGACTTGCTGTGTAGTCAGTGCAATTATTCACCATAGTAATTACCAACGACTTGGCTTCCTTCCTGATTATCTACAGCATGTGACACTTAAAAAAGAACAAATGGATTTATTTATAAATAAATGCTAAATCAGAGTCTCCCTCTCTGGTTCCTGGGTTTCTGCCAGTTTACTGTTAGTATGCAGTCAGTCACGGCCAGACTGTACGGAAGGCACACTGGGAGATGAATTCATTCTTTAAGCCCTAAGGTACCAGTTAGTAGAATGATGGCAATGGGAACTAGAAGGTCCCGAGAGAAGATTCTGTCCAACCTTCTCATTTTGCAGTTCAAGTGACAGAGGCTCCAAGGAGTGGTGACTTGCACATGAACGGCTTGTTCCTCCACTACCACTGTAACCTTCAGTGAGTCTGAACCTCGCTTCCTTCCTCTGTAAAATGGACTAGTGATGATCACAGGGAACATCTTCCCGGGGCTTCCTACATGCCAGACACCGTCCTATCTAATTCTCCCAACACTGCCATAAATTGTATATGATTACCTTCAATGAGAGAGAAGAATATCAACACACAGGAAGCTTAAATAATTTACTTAAGACAATTAGGAAATGTTGCAAAGCTGGCCTAAGAACCCAGGAATATCTACCTCCAAAATTCTTAAATTCCAATTCTTAAATCCCTCCTAAGAAACCCCTATCACATAGGTTCTCAAGTTCCTTAGTCTCTACAAGTCTACAGCAGAGTTGACAAACTATAGCCATTGGACAAATCCAGGCATCCCATTTGCTCACACATTGTCCAGACTGCTTTTGCGCACTACAACAGCCGAGTTGAAAAGTGGCAGCAGGGACCTGCAGTGAAATATCTACTCTGGCCCTCTACAGAGCTTGCTGCTAACTGCTCTTTGAAAATTTAGAGCATCCTGTAACTGGATAGCACTTTACATTGTACAAAGCACTTTGGTAGATACATCAGCATATTTAATCTTTGTTGTGCAGGGGGCATTCACTCATTTTAAAGGAGGAAGCAAAAACTCAGTTTAAGTCACTTGCAGCATCAGGCCCACAGGGACAGAAAGTGGCAGAACCACATCCCCAGGTGCTGACTCCAAATTACAAACTCCTTCCATGAAGCCACCCTGTCCTCTCTAAAAATTACTGCCAGGGAACGGATTGGAAACTGGAAAAGACATGTGAGGACTGAAAGCAAGTCAGACTGTCTTCCTGAGGCGAATATCATGCCAAGTGCACCCACATAATGAGAGTCATTAAGTGCTAAAAATACTATTAAGTTTGTAATAAACTTGAAAGTTTATGCCTTAAAGGGCATGACAATCACAGGAAAGACATTTTGAAGCACATGTGATACATTTATACACAGTTTTATATCAACACGTGAAATTTTAACCTACTTAATTTAGAATATGAAAAATAAGGTAACAGAAAAAGAGCATTGCTCCTGCTGTTATTAGCCTAAAAAAAAATTGTTTGCTCCATACCCAAAATTTGCACATAAATAAAAATGCAATTATATCTCCTTCATGCTGTATTCAATAAATGTGGCTAGTTTTAAAGACAAACAAAAACTGATGTTTTTTTCAAAGAAAGCTATGTGTTTCTTCCTACTCTGCAAGTTCAAGCTCAATCTAAATGGCAATGATGAGTCTTGAAATAATATGGCTTCACTGGAGGGATTCATTTGAAATACACAGTATGAGGCCCCTTTTATTTCAGATATATTCTGTAACATGCCTTGAGATTTAATTCTAGGTATATAAATGGATATGGAAGCACCCTCAAGTCCCTGCAAAGAAAGAAGGGAAAATATCTCTTACCAATTGAGTGGCTGCTGAGTGGTAGGTATCTTTATTTATTTTATTTCCTGAAAAGCCCACAGTGAGCTGTGAAGTATTTCCCTCCACCATTTTACAGATAAGGAAGCTGAGGTTCAGAGTTATTACTAATTTGCCCAAGGTCACACATCTGGAATTCAACTCTAAACCAAATTACCTGCAAAACCCACACTCACCCACTGCCCCATGTAGATTCTCAGTATCACCAAGATCATTGGCCAACAGCTCATAAATACTCACTTTAAGAATAGAATTTTTCTTTTTCCTTTATTGGATGGCTGATATTCCATAACTGAATTTCTGCCCATACTGTAATATTTTAATAAGGAAATTTTATCCATGGATTTTAATTTCTCCTCTTAAGGAAAAGAGAGAACTGAAAAAAAATCACCTAGATTTTAGGGAACTTTTCAAGCGAGTCTGCAACAAATGCACATAGAGCTAAAACTTCACGATTCAGCCAACTGTACAAATCAAATGCAAAATTAACTGTTTACAGCAAAGCTCTGTATAAATTTAATTAATCTTGGACCCTACCCATAATAATTAGTAACTGAGGGTCCTTATAACAAATGGAGGTGAAAAAATAAACCATTATTTCAGACTGTAAACCAACTGGCTTTCTAATAACTGATTTATGTTCTATATTACCAAAAATGTCACTTTAAACAAATAGGTTCTGCCAATTGATTCATCAAAGTTCACTACCTATTCGTTGGCAGTGGTACAGTTTAAGAACCTGAAAGAGAGGGGCCTTGACTTACACATTTTTGTGTCTTTCCTGCACCGTGAGCCTAGTGTTTGGCAAGAACAGACATACAATGACACCTACCAACTATGCTGCTCATGCACAACTTTCAAAATCAATGCACATATTTTCAAAATTGGTCCCATAGCACAGTCTTAAGGGCACTAGAAATATGAGGATATGCTGTACTCCTATGCAGACTAGGAGGGGGTCCTTCTGGCTCCAGGGAGAATTGCAGATACAGCCTTTAACAAGACAAAGTTCAGTGCAGGCACTGAGTTCCACTCCCCAGCAACCAAACATTTATTGAAAAACTGACTGATGGAAACAATAACTGCCATTAATAGACACTATGAAACTTTTTTCTTTTAGCATGATTCCATGATGCAGTGCAACCTCTTTCATTGTTCTGCAGACAGAGAATGCCAGCAACCCTGGAGGACTAATGTTCCAGTTTAAATTTCAGATCCAGTAAAGACACAAAATAATTTTGTGGGAAGTGACCCTGTGGCTTTCTTCTCTTGTTTGTTAAAAAGCTGATTTTCTGGGAAGAGGAGAGAAGAAGGTTGCTTCTGCTTTATTTTCACTTCTGTAATTTTAATAGTTTTTTAAAAATCCAGGTTGTAGAAAAACATAGACACAGAGGAAATCAGTGATGATTATTCACATTATGAAGGGATTCTCCATATGGTTCCATTAAATACTGGACTCCCTAAAGCACTGAATGTGGGATTTGATTTAAAAGCACCTTTTCAGGAACACATTTCTGTAAAGTGAGGTACACCTACATACTCATTATAACTTCTCAAAGGCCAATCCAGCAGCTATTCCCCATTCAGAGGGCAGGGGAACAAACGGTACAGTTCGTGTTACAGTTACAGTCAGTGGATTCTTGGATCACACGCCTCACCTTTCTTAGGAGATGAAGCTTTGAGGGAAGACCCACATACGGCCAGCCCTTTCACTATTCTGCAACAGGCTCTGAAAACAGAGGTTTGCTGCATGCTGGCCCAGGGAAAAGTGAGTGAAGGAGCAGTGTGCATGAGATTTGGACTCAGCAAAGGCACAAATATGGCCTGTGGCAGATGAGGAAGTTCAGAACTGATTCAACTGGTTCTTGTAGTTAAACTATTTCTTAACTTCTGTACTGGTTACAAGGTGAGGAAGGGCCCCCCTTCTTCACCCCTGAACACTGATGGCCCCCTAAAGCAGAGGGAGCCCAACTGATAGTTGTACAAAACACATGATAAAGAGGGAATTCTTTCCACCCAGTATTTGAGCTGAATGATTTCATTGGTAATCACCTTCTCCCCATAGAGAAAAAAACGGGTGTTCCTAAAACTTAGTCCCATGATTCAGCAGTCAAGGAGATGCACAGCAGAGGATCCCAAAGCAGACAACCCAGGGGAGGGTGGCTTCATCGCTCAAACCAGCGAGCCAGGTTGCGGATGCTCTTGGGCCGGTCCCCCGCAGCTTGCACCGCTTGGCAGGCCCGGCACCAAGGCTCATCCCAGAAGGAGGTGATGTGCACGGCAAAGCGCCGCCGCCAGCTGAAGTAGCGCCGGTAGACAGCTGGGTTTCGGTCGAGGAAGAGCAGGTAGGTGGCCAGCGCGGAGGCATTAGGAAAGTCGTCCACGTGGATGAAGGCACCGCGGGGCACAAATCGCTCGTAATTGGCACGGTTGGGGCCCAGCACCACCGGTACCGTCCCGGCCAGCAACGCGTTGCGCCAGAGCTTCTCGGTGATGTAGTCCAGGTGCTGCGAGTTCTCAAAGGCCAGGTAGAACTTGTAGCGGGCCACCGTGTGCACAAGGCCAATGTCCGGCACCGGCCGCCCGGGCCCGCCCCGGCCGAACACGTCCACGGACACGTGCTGGCTCAGCCGGTGGTAGTAGCGGACTCGGGCCTGGCGCTCATCCCAGTTGCTCACCACCCAGGCCACCAGCCTCCGTTTCCGGGCCAGCGGCGGGACCAGGCCTGCTGGCGGGTCGCCGGGATGGGTCCTGGAGTACAGGTAGCCATAAGGCACGAAGACGTCCGAGTCCGCCCGGTAGGACAGCGTCCAGTTGAACAGGTTGCCTGCCAGGCTTCGCAGCCTCGGGGAGTGGGAGGGCGACTCGAAGTTCATCCACACCCAGCGCTGGCCAGGGGGTCTGAGACCCAAGGCGGCCAGAGCTTCGGCAGCCGCCGCCGCCGCCACCTCGCGGTCGTCCAACGCCCGCAGCTCCAGCTCCTCTGCCGCGCGCAAGCTGACGCCCCAGGGCGGGGGCCAGTCGAGGGAGCCCTTCACCAGGTCCCGGTGGTGGAAGAGCACAGCATGGGCCTCCCCGTAGTCCGCGCGGTCGGTGAGCAGGCGGCAGCCGCTGATGTTGAAGCGCAGGCGGCAGTCGGGAGGCGGCCTCGCGGCGCTGTCGCGGCCCCGGAAGGGCTCCCACCACAGCAGCACGCCCACCGGCCGCGGCGGGGCGGACGACGTCCAGCGCAGCGGCGGCAGCCGCCCCCAGCAGGAGTAGGCGGCCAGGGCCGTGCACACCAGGCCGGCAGCCGCCAGCGCCGAGGCGGCCCGCGGCAGCCCCGGGCTCCTGCGCCGCCCCGGCCCCCGCCCGGCCGCCCGGCCCCACCGCCGCCCCATGGCGCGCGCCGGCTCAGCCGCCGCCTCTGGCCGCGCGTCCGCAGGCGGGTAGCAGCGGCGCTCGCTCTCATGCTGCCGCTGCGGCTCCGGCCGTCGCAGCCGCTCGCCGCTGGCCCTGGAGCGGGAGAGGGCGGGCCCGGAATCCAAAGGCCCGCGGGTCTGGCTCTCCTCCCCGCGAATGCCCGCGGGGCGCGCCGCCAGGGCGAGGTGAGCGGGCCGGCCAGCCCAGCCCGGCGCCGCCCCGTCGCTCCCCGCCACTGCGCGCCCAGCCCCGCCGGCCCGGGAGCTCCCCGCGGCCCCTCCGCCCGCTCCGTGCCCTCTCCAGGGCCCCCGACTGCCCGGCCGCGCCCTGCAGGCTCCCCACCCGCTACTCCGGACCCCGGCGCAGAGGTCCCGGGCCTTTCTGCGCGCCCACCGCCCTGGCCTAGAGCCCGGGCCTGCCCGGAGTGCCTCCCGGCTGCGCCTCCGCGCTCAGTCGCGGTGACCCGAGCCCTTGCCTTCCAGAGTGAGGGCCCGGCGGGCGCGCCCCGGGAGCGCGAGACCCTCCAAGGGCCGCGGCGGCGCGAGAGCAGGCGCGGGCTCGGCAGAACGGCGGGCCGCGGTGCTGCGCCTCCAGGCAGGTCGGAGGTCGGGAGTCCGCTTCCTTCCTCGCCGCCCTGCTGCGGCCAGCGACGCCTGCCGGAGGGAGGGAGCCTGGGAGGCCGCGGGGACGTGCGGACAAGAGGCGCGACCACCGCGGGTGACCGTGACCTCGTGACCCGCCGAGCCCCGCCAGCGGTGCAGTCAGGCCACGCGACCCCCCGCGGCGCGGCCCGCAAAGGTTGTGCATTTGGTGAGACCCAAGTTTTCAAACCCTATTTGTCATGTGAATATTCCCTTTGCCTACAGCCCCAGCTACGGATAGAGCAGAATAAAACGTTTTCTGAGCAATTGAAACACATTCTTTTTCCCCCCTGGGCCACTGAACGCCTCAGGCTGCCGGCTCTTAGCATTCTTTGCACTAGGCTAGGGGGACTCAAACCAAAGACAAAAATAGGGCTCTTGAGGCCTTTGTACTCAAAGGATCTCCAGACTGTTCAGTGAGATGAATGAGTGGACATCATTATTAGTTTTACCAAGTACTTAAGAAACAACTTAATTTCTGCACTCATGAAGATTGTGCAAAATAAGTATGGGTATAAAATGGTGACTAGGATAAATAGCACCCAAGTTTATGCTATAGAGGGTAGTTATTATACTCCGGCCGCTTTAGGTTTATCAGTGAGGCAACAATCCGGCATCGACTTCCACAGTAACTTGAATTTTTTCTCCCTTCAGTTTGAATTTGAATTTCTGAATTTTGGCCTTCATTTATGTTATAAAAGTTTTATTCAGCGAAATTCTAAAAAGACCATGGGTGGGCTGCTGACCTAAGGAGAGGAGGCAGTTTCCAGAGAATTTTTGAAAGATCCCAGCTGTACATGGGTGGCACCCCCAGCGCAATGCCGCATGCGTTACAGGATGCTAGGGGTGAAGTAGATTTGCTGGGAATGGGGCCAACCTGGCAGGTATTTTTGATGGTATGCATACCGAAAACAAACGTGGGTTTGCCATTGGATTTATTGTGAAGAACTTTGTCATTAAAATCAAGTACAGATTGTAAAAGCTCCTATAAAAATTTTTTGTAGAATCATTGTCAAGCTTGTTAAGCAAACTGTCAGTGAAATTAGGTATTTCAGTGATTCTCCACTCTGTTATTTTTCATTATAAAGAAAAAGCTATAAATGTACAAATGCATGCTTCAGGGGCACCATCTGTCAGGCCACAATGACAATTTAGGAGCCGGATGGAGCATTATCTGCTCTGACTACAACCTTCGGCCTAGTGACACTTTTCTCTTATACACTCAAATCTTTTTAAATGTTTTTGGGTTTTGGTGTTTGATTTTTTGTAGAATCATTGTCAAGCTTGTTAAGCAAACTGTCAGTGAAATTAGGTATTTCAGTGATTCTCCACTCTGTTATTTTTCATTATAAAGAAAAAGCTATAAATGTACAAATGCATGCTTCAGGGGCACCATCTGTCAGGCCACAATGACAATTTAGGAGCCGGATGGAGCATTATCTGCTCTGACTACAACCTTCGGCCTAGTGACACTTTTCTCTTATACACTCAAATCTTTTTAAATGTTTTTGGGTTTTGGTGTTTGTTTTTTTGTAGAATCATTGTCAAGCTTGTTAAGCAAACTGTCAGTGAAATTAGGTATTTCAGTGATTCTCCACTCTGTTATTTTTCATTATAAAGAAAAAGCTATAAATGTACAAATACCTTTTTCCAGCTAAATGAAGGAAAGGACACACTGGCTTTTCTTTTTATGCAGTTCAAAAATTCATACATTTATGTAAATCACCCTGAAGAGCCTAACCTTGCGCCTGGCATATGAGAAGTAGGCATTTAGTAAATGTTGACCTGCTTGCTTGCTTCCTTTACCTACTCGTAATTTTCTGCACTCATGAAATTCCAATTAAGCCAACTTTTTTACTGGCAGAATGGCTTAGATCTGGTGGATACTGATTCCCACCATGTACACTTATCTTGGGAGTACACAGGACCACAACTGCCCCTACTTTAATCTTATCTCGGTGTGGGGACAGGGGATACTGAGCAGGAGGATGTGGCTGGATCAGTGGAAACCAATCATAACTTCTCTACAGACTACTGATTGAAAATCAAACACATTGATTTATTCACAGGGCAATGTGTTTTTTTTTTTTTGCATTTAAAAGGAAAGGAAGGAGGAAAGGGGTTAAGGGAAAATAATAAAACCAGGGATGAAAAGCACTATTTCTACCTTCAAGAATCTATGAGAGAAACCGACACGTGGAAAAGGAAAGGATCATAGCAGTCTTTGAGAAGGTGGCTCCTGGAATAATAAGGAACAATTAAAATGCAGGAGGAAGAGGGCTGGGATGTTAGTCTAAACAGAAGGAGCGGCATAGGCAAAGGCCAGGCAGTGAGGACTAGGACGCTGGTTAGGAATTACTAGAATTTAGTTTGGCAAAGGAGATGGCATTTTATCCTCAAGGTGTGGAGAGTCTTTAAACAGTTTTAACAAAGCAAAGGAACAATATATCTTTCAGAACTCATTTGCGAAGGGAGGTGAGTACAGGCATACTTTGTTTTATTGCACTTAGCTTCGTTGCATTTTGCAAATATTGGTTTTTTACAAATTGAAGATTTGTGACAACCCTGCATCAAGCCCATCCATCGGTGCCATTTTTCCAACAGCATTTGCTGACTTTGTGTTTGTGCCACATTTTGGTAATTCTCAAAATATTTCAGACTATTTCATTGTTTTTATATTGTTTTGGGATCTGTGATCAGTGATCTCTGATGTTACTATCATAATAGGGGTACCACAAACCACCCCCACATAAGACGGTGAACCTAATTGGTAAGTGTTGTGTGTTCTCATTCCTCCACCAACCAGCTGTTCCCCCTTCTCTCCTTCTCCACAAGTCTCCCTATTCCCTGAGACACAGCAATAGTGAAATTAGGCCAATTAAAGACCCTACAATGGCCTCTAAAAGTTCAAGTGTAAGGAAAAGTCACATATCTCTCACTTTAAGTTGAAAGCCAGAAATTATTAAACTCAGTGAGGAAGGTATGTCGAAAGCTGAGTTAGGCCAAAAGCTAGGCCTCTTGAGTCAAACAGTTAGCCAATTGTGAATGCAAAGGACAAGTTCTTGAAGGAAATTCAAAGTGATAGTCCAGTGAACAAATAAACAATAAGAAAGTGAAACAGCCTTATTGCTGATAAGGAGAAAGTTTCAGTGGTCAGGACAGAAGATCAAATCACCCACAATATTCTCTTAAATCAAAGCCTAATCCAGAGCAAGGCCCTAACTCTCTTCAATTCTGAAGGCTGAGAGAGGTGAGGAAGCTGCAGAAGAAAAGTTTGAAGCTAGCAGAGAGGTTGGCTCATGAGGTTTAAGGTAAAAGTGCAAAGTAACATAAAAGTGCAAAGTGAAGCCACAAGTACTGATAAAGAAACTACGGTGAGTTATCCAGGAGATCTAAGATCATTAATGACGGTGGCTACACCAAACAACAGATTTTCAATGCAGATGAAACGGCCTTCTATTGGAAGAAGATGCCATCTAGGACTTTGACAGCTAGAAAAAAGAAGTCACTGCCTAACTTCAAAACTTCAAAGGACAGGCTGACTCTCTTGTTAGAAGCTAATGCAGCTGGTGACTTTCCATTGAGGCCAATGGTCATTTACTATTCTCTAAATCCTGCAGCCCTCAAGAATTATGGTAAATATACTCTGCCTGTGCTTTATGAATGAAACAACAAAGCCTGTATGACAACACATCTGTTTACAACATGGCTTATGAGTATTTGAAGCCCACTGTTGAGACGTACTCTTCAGAAAAAGGTTCCTTTCAGAATATTACTGCTCATGGACAATGTACCTGGTGACCCAAGAGCTCTGATGGAGAAGGACAATGAGATGCGTGTTGTTTTCGTGCCTGCTAACACAGCTTCCATTCTGCAGCCCATGGATCAAGGAGTAATTTTGACTTTCAGGTCTTATTATTTAAGAAATACGTTTTGTAAGGATTTTGTAAGGCTATATAGCTGCCATAGATAGAAATTCCTCTGATGGATCTGGGCAACGTACACTGAAAATCTTCTGGAAATGATTTGCCAATCTAGATGTCACTAAGAACATTTGTGATTTATGGAAGAGATCAAAACATCAACTTTAACAGGAGTGTGGACGAAGTTGACTCCCGTCCTCGTGGATGACTTTTAAGGGTTCAAGCCTTCAGTGGAGGAAGTAGCTGCCGATGTGGTGGAAACAGTAAGAGAACTCGAATTAGAAGTGGAGCCTGAAGATGTGGCTGAATTGCTGCATCTCATGACACTTGAAGAGGTGAGGAACTCCTTCTTATGGATGACTGAAGAAAGTGGTTTCTTGAGATGGAATCTGCTCCCAATGAAGACTCTGAAGATTGTTGAAGTGACAACAAAAGATTTAGAATATCCCATAAACTTAGTTGATAAAGCAGCAGCAGGGCTTGAGAAGACTGAGTCCAATTTTGAAAGACGTTCTACTATGGGTAAAATGCTATCAAACAGCATCTCATTCTCCAGAGAAATCATTCATGAAAGGAAAAGCCAATTGATACAGCAGACTTCATAGTGCAAGTTTCATGCCCCTCCTGTGTGCTTCCATGTATATATCTTTCAGAACATCATGGAGCAGAGGTCATGACTTTTTCATCCATTACTATCCCTTGCACAGAACCAAACCTCTGGTAATAGTATCATGTCAATGAATATTTGTCGAATGAATGAGTGTTCTTAATGTGTTACTGAAATGATCTGTCAGTATCTGTGTTGCCCACTAGAAAGTGTGTAGGTCCCAGGAAAATTCAGCTATGTGAATGACTTGCTGTGACCTTAAGAAGCCCCTTAAGCTT